GAGAGTGAATGTGGGGATCCCAAACTGGGGGGACCCCCCAGAACCCTCCAGAACCCCCCAGGACATCCCAAAACCCCCCAGAACCCCGGGAACAGCGCAGATCCCGAGGCTGAACGTGGGGATCCCAAACTGGGGGGACCCCCCAGAACCCTCCAGAACCCCCCAGGACCCCGGGAACAGCGCAGATCCCGAGGGTGAATGTGGGGATCCCAAACTGGGAGGGATCCCCCAAAATCACCCAGGAGCCCCCAGAACACCCCAGATCCCCCAGGAGCCCGGGAACAGTGCAGATCCTGAGGGTGAACGTGGGGATCCCAAACTGGGGGGACCCCCCAGAACCCTCCAGAACCCTCCAGAACCCCAGGAACAGCACCGATCCCAAGGGTGAACGTGGGGATCCCAAACTGGGGGGACCCCCCAGAACCCTCCAGAACCCCGGGAACAGCGCAGATCCCGAGGGTGAACGTGGGGATCCCAAACTGGGAGGGATCCCCCAAAACCACCCAGGACACCCCAGAACCACTCCCAGGACCCCGGGAACAGCGCGGATCCCACTCCGGGTTTGGGATAATTGGGGATTTTCCCAGGTTTGGATAATTCAGGATTTCCCAGGTTTTGGATAATCCAGGATTTCCCAGGTTTTGGATAATTCATGATTTCCCAGGTTTTGGATAATTCAGGATTCCCCAGGTTTTGGTTAATTCAGGATTTCCCGGGTTTTGGATAATCCAGGATTTTCTCAGGTTTTGGATAATCCAGGATTTCCCAGGTTTTGGATAATCCAGGATTTCCCAGGTTTTGGATAATCCAAGATTTCCCAGGTTTGGATAATCCAGGATTTCCCAGGTTTGGGATAATCCAGCATTCCCCACATTTGGATAATCCAGCATTTCCCCTATCCCTCACCTCGGGCCGCCTGCAGCTGCAGGATTTCCCAGGTTTGGATAATCCAGGATTTTCTCAGGTTTGGGATAATCCAGGATTCCCCACATTTGGATAATCCATCATTCCCTCTGTCCCGTACCTCGGGCCGCCTGCAGCTCCAGGATTTTCCCAGGTTTGGATAATTCAGGATTTTCCCATCCCAGGTTTGGATAATCCAGGATTTCCCAGGTTTTGGATAATCCAGCATTCCCCACATTTGGATAATCCAGCATTCCCTCTGTGCTCACCTCGGGCCGCCTGCAGCTCCAGGATTTTCCAGATTTGGATAATCCAGGATTTTCTCAGTTTTTGGATAATCCAGCATGCCCTCTGTGCTCACCTCGGGCCGCCTGCAGCTGCAGGATTTTCCGTGTCCGGGCCGTGGTGCCTTTGGGCAGGGAGATCACGTATTTCCCTTCCATCTCCGCTGTCACCCGGCGCCGCTTGCACGGGACCGGCGGCAGCGCCGCACCACGGGCGGCTGCGGGGGAAAAATGGGGTTAGGAGAGCAAAAAACGGGGTTAGGAGAGGGAAAAATGGGATAAAGAGAGGGGAAATGGGGT